TGTCTTCCTCTTTGCCAATTAAACACTCCTGGCTTTCCCCCTCTGGCTCACAGGAACTGGGGACAGGATCCCTCTTCTCTACGTGGTTCATTATCCGCGTTCTCCTCTGGAATAAGAGGAATGTCTGGGATAAACCTACTATGTCAGCTTTGAAAGAAATGACTTAGACTTAGTGACATGCTCTTACAGGCCGAGTGAGTGGGACACTTCCTTTAGTTCCTGTAATTGGGAGTTGCTCTCATCGGCTGACACGGCAATTCCAGGGTACGCGAGTTTTCATACCAACATTCAGGTGACTAAAATGTTGATTTTAGAGGCTGATTAGAGCCATGACTGAGAAATACTGCTCTGGATGATGATGATGAAGTCTGAAAACCTCCGTGATTCTGGAAATGTTGGCGTCTCCTGGAGCCCACTCATTCCCTGCACACTGAAACGGGAAGTGTTACTAATGGTGATGTAGCTCAGTCACAGCATCACCAACATGCCAGGAAGAGAGAAATCCAATGAGATCAGTTGGTTGATTTCTCCTCCTTCCCAGAGCAATAGGTGCCCTCCACCACGTATTTTGAAGATTAACATCAGATGTAGGAGGAATCAGGTCCATATTTTCTCTGTGGAAACTATTCCAGAGTCAGAAGTCATCCCAGTGTGCATGGTGAGGGTGATGGAAAGCACTTCAGAGCCCTATAACCACATCAAGAACACCCAGATGTCTATGCTGCATCTGGCAGCATCAATTAAAACCCCTTCCTCCCAAGCCCTAGTAAATCCATGCCTGTGCCTAATGCAGCAGACATGTAAGGAGCATCTTTCGCTGCAGGAAGTTTCTCTCTAACGTGTGCAAGCTGGTGTTATACATCCAGGACACTGCCTGACCATCAGCATATCGGGCATTTTTAATGTACCTGGAATTTTTTCGAGTTTGGAAAATTTACCACAACAGCTTGTTGAAAAACACTGCATAAAAATCCTATTTAAATTCTGAAAACTTGAAGCATCAGAACCTGAGTCCACTGGCTCTATCCCTTAAAGCCATGGTGTTGGCAGGATCCCCTGTGTTTTGTAGCACAGCAGCACTTGCTGGGCATATACACCTCATAGATTTTTGAGTACTGGGGGCTCCAGCAAAGATGCAGGACTGAGTAATGTGCCAGTGTCATACAGATGCCTCAGAAGAGTGGCAGAATTAGCTGGCATTTAGCAGTAATAAATATAATTCTGCATAATTAATATGATCAGAGACAGCAGAGCAAGACAGTGGCATCAGAGGGAGGGAGGCTGTCCTGGGGCCAGTCATTTCTGGGGTGCCCCAGGGGGACCAGCAGCAGCCCTAAACATGCCTTGGGGGCCCTCTTGTGGGCCCTGCTCTGCCGTGGACCCCACTAAAAACAGCTCTGAGAAGTGATTAACATGAATGTTTAATTAGCACGAGGGCTATTCACACTCCAGCTGCCACTGCAGCTGTGGCAGAGGGCACAACAAGTGCACACGAACAACAGGCCGCGTGGCTCCAAGGCCTTCAGTCAGAATGTACATTTTTCTTAACTAATTCAGAAATGTTTGGAGTTTGAAAGGCACAACTGTTCAGTTTTCATGGCTGACAAGAGCAGTTGCATCTCAGGTATGGCAATGCTGCAAATACTGAGATTGTGGTTTTGGTTTCCCACAGGTTCATCAGTCCATTCTCACCTCCCAGTGCAGCCCAGCTCAGCTCTCTTGCTGTCTCCATCCCACACACATTTGCAGTCACTGCTAATTACAGCTGTCACCCACAGACAGGAGGTGAGCACATCAACACCCTCCATTTCTTTGGCTTTTGTGCCCATGTGGTTATTGGGAACTGGTGGTTATATACAGTTGTCCAACCTGATCATCTCATATTAAGCACTTAGTGTGGACACAAATTAATGTGACTAATAACTGTGAGAGGACAGATTTTTACCACCTGCAAGCCCCAAAGAACAGCATGGGAACCATGTACTGTCTCTAAACATGCTCAGTGGGAAACAACTATGCAAACTACAAACTAAAAAACTCCCCAAGGGCTCAAGATTCTGCAAGATCCTGCAAAATATGTCTGCCAAGGTGAGCAGAACCTCCATAAAAGAACCCAAGTAAAGATAATTTGGTACAAGGCCATTCTCCTCCTCAGTGCAGGTGTTTACAAGTGGGAACAGAAAGGTGCTGGTCCTGGCAAAGGTATTTTTAAAGGACAAACACTTCCTGACAAGCCACCTCTCTTCCCTTGGGGTTAGTTGGAGCCCTCCAGCATGAGTCTGTCCCTTCAGAGCAAGTGTGTGCCCTCCAGGCATCCCACCCTGTCTGCCTGAACAGACCCACCTTCATCTCCAAAGGTAATTCCCTGGGCTGAGGTGGAATGAAAATGAAGGAAGTAAACTGGCAAACAGAGCCCTGGGTGAGTCTGAATAAATGTGTGCAACAATGGGTTGGAGTCACTGCCAAGCTCCACTTCCCCATCTGTGGGAAACAAATTTCTGCCCACTGCAGGAACTGAGGGATGGTCTCATCCCATCCATAGCTGGAAATTCTGAGAGGTTGGTAATAACTCCCTCTGGAAAAGTGGGATAATTTTGTTTGCTTCCCAGACAAGATTAAGGGATTTTAAAAATGTAACCAAAAACCCCACCAGCACCACCCTATCCCACAAGTATAGGGATTTACATTCTTAACCACAGCACTATACTGATGCATGTTTTCAGTCTGAATTCTGGCATTTCTGGTTTTTATTAAGAAGTCTCCTGCAATTTGTAATCTTGTTGGCGCAGGAAGGGGCAGGAAGGTAGAGGTGTATAATCTGTTCGGGTTACCCAGGGCAGCTGATCAATCCTTCTGAATAGGTATGTGATGTAAATCAAATGTAAGCAATGGATTAGGCCTCTACTCAGGCTGATAATTATAAGAAATGGAGCCCTCCCAGGGAAAACAGAAATTTCATGAATGCTTTCCAGCTATATCATGATCCTGGTGTCCCTCCAAGCATAAATTTGGCCTGGAACACAAAGGCATGGAGACAATCAATGATGTTTTACTGGTCAGCCCCTTTCTACATTTATTCTAAATAGTTTTAATAATAAATTGTTACACTCTCTCAGCTTGTCTTGCCTATTTGGCTGTGCTTGTTTTACATGTGGATTGTCTCTTGCCATGTTTAGCATGGAGTGTAACAAAGCCTTAAGTGGATCCTACAGGACTGCTACCAAGTGTTTAGAGATACACCTTTGATAATGAATTTGGTATGGAATTAAACACACTGCTTTAAACATCCTTTGTGGTTTCCCTGTCCACCAGAGATATCAAATTCTGATTATTTCCAGTTTAAATTCTGACTTTTTTCAAGCATTTCTTTCAAATCCTTTAGGCAAGTTTCTCTGGTTCTACCCTACAAACTCTGTGAAAATAAAACTACATTTGTCCTGAATGATGTTAACCAAAGAAACAAGAATTACTAGTCCTCTAGATGGTGCTACTATTTCAAATAAAGCAGCTGGATGTTTGAAGATTTTGTTCAAATATAGTGCTGTAGTGCCCCATGAGAAAGGAACAGGGTGAGAAACCCTGACCCTAGTAAGAGAAGTGATGGCACACAACCCAAAACTTCATCTCACAGTTGTAGCACCAAAGGGCAGCCTGTGTGTAAATACACTGCTTGCTTCTCTTTAAGAATAATGCATGTTTCAGTATCTGAAAATGCAGAAAAATTACAGGCTGTATTGATGAAAATTGTGTTTCAAAGGTTGGCTCCATTTTCCACGTCTTTGATTTCCAGTTTTCCCAATGATTTCCACGGGGCCCCTCCGGTGTGTCACGTTCCAACTGCAGTGACTCAGGTGAGTGTTCCCGGAGCAGGGTGGGTGTGTCACAGCCCAGCACCACGGGCTTGCCCTGGCACAGGCTGTGTGTGCTCTGGCCTGGTTTCACAGCAGCACTTCAGCACAAATGTTCTTCAGATGCAGCCACAGGAACGACTGAAACCCACAGTCAAACACCCTCCTGACTTCAGGATACTTGTATGTGCACACTGACATGGGTAGTAAAGGCTGTGAACTCTAAGTGCTTTAGGGATGCAAGGAAAGAAAGCAAAAGAATTTACCTTACACTCTCCTCTCTTTCCAGAGCTCTCATCTGCCTATTTTCTCTCTCAGATAGTTTTCCTGATTCTCTTTGTAAATCCAGCCAGATGGATTTGCAGCACCAGATTTCTTTCCCCCTGTGGTTGCTGTCAAAGTCAAGAACAAAAACTTTCTGATTTCAAGATTATTATTGTTGTACGTTATTATACATCTGACCTTTGAAACATATATTCTGTATCACCACTATCTCTTACTTTGTGCAAAGTTCATCTGTTATCTAAATAAATGTCAAATTTGGGATCTTGTTAAGCCTTCAGCCTCAGTAACAATAACTGTGAATTTCTGGAGTTTACTCAGACAGTGTAAGAGAAACATTTATTTCATCGGTTTTGACTATTCAACCTTTAAAATTTCACAGAGTATATTTGTCCTTGTGTTATGAGAAAAGAATAACATCTCTAGATCATTCATTATTTTGTATTCTTTCCTTGTCCCATTTATTTATCTGCTTTCCAAGAAACTTTTCTCCCAGGAACATATCTATGGTGATTTTCACTGCTCTTTTATGAGTCCTTCTCCAGTGTCATAATAGTTTGGTTGGTTGGGTTTTGAGGCAGCAAAGCCACAAAATGAGGGCATATGGCAGCTCATAAAAATACTTTTAAAAAGAAAGACACTCTAAAAGCAGACAGAAGGTTATGCTAAAAATAACCATGAAGACATGAGCTTAAACAACAAGTATTTTATTTAGCATACTTAGTGAATCCTTGCACACAGTAATTTCCTAAGTCCTCTGGCCTTTTTCCAGCAGGGCCAACACAGACAACTAGAATGAAACTTCTTCCTAAAAATAAAGCAAGATTAGACTGACTTTGGAAGTGACTCCTTCAACACCTCAGAATCTTCTGGCTCATAAGGTTCCAAAACTGGTTTTAATTTGACTTCCTCTGGTAGCTTGTGAGTATCTTCTCTCCTGCTTCCATCTCTTAAAAGTGGAACCAATGTTTTCCAGTGTTTCCCTGAAACTACAAAGGAAAGGAATGGTTAATTTTTCCCCCTCCACAGAATCAGTAAATATCCAAGTGGTTTAAATAGGAAGCTGATGAAAGAAGAAGAAAGAAGCAGGAAGAAAGGGCTTTGTGGTTTTCTTGCCCATACTGTTGCATGAGTTTTCCATAATTCAGCTGGCAAGTACAGCAGAGACTGATTGCACAGTTAAATACTTCTGTGCTGGGGGCTGAGCTCCCAAACTGTAGGGCTTGGGGCCTCCAAAAACCTCCTCCTGGCTATCTGGTTGCCATCATACACTGCTCCATCTCCTCAGGATTTACACATTATGTTTTGTAAAATCTTCATTCAGAATGACAGATCTATGGGGGTTTTATTCCCAAGAGTCAAACTGCTGTGAGTGATGAGCCCACTTCATCCTTCGCATTTTGTGCTGACGGGAAATGACATAAACTTAGTTACTGAATTATCAGTAAGTGCATAACACTGAATGCCCTCTAACAATTAATCCATGCTGCTACTATCCCCAGTGTGTAACTCAAACCAGGATTTAGGTCCCTGAAGCCCTCACCTCTGCCAGGTTTAATAGAGAAACTGAGATTCCGTCTGAGGTCCCCGGAGTACCCGGGGTCTTCATTGATTATGCCCAGATTCGTATTCCACGTAGACCAGTTCACTTCATCAACCCTGGGGAGAGAACAACAAACCCAATATCTATTCTAAGCATCACCAGACAACTCCAGGATGAGCTTTTATCACAAACTGCCACTCTCAAGCCTCAGATCTGACCTAAAAATTAGATTAAACTGACTACTGTAGACAGTATTAGTGAGCTACTTTTCAGAGCGCTCCAGGGGGAAAGTTCTGCTTCCTACCACCAGATGCCTTAATGTTGTTTGTCTACAAAAGACTGTTCATTTGACACACAAACAGGTTACCTAAAGCACCATCTGTAATCATCTTGGCCATCAGGTGTGATCCCCACCAAGACTTGCTTCCCGGACCGGAACGAGCGCTTCAAACAGTTCAAGTAGCTGTTTTCGATATCCAAGATTGTGATGGCTCTCTGCCAGGTAAGAGAAAGCAGAGCACTGAGAGGCTGCTGGTCAAAGTCAAACAAATCCTGATTACTGCCTTTACTTTATAAACCTTCAGTATTTATCATTGTCATCATCTTAGAGCAGTCACTGTAACTACTGAAATATCACCCTCTGTTAATGTCATTAAAAATGCTCAATTACTGCCCTGTGATTAGAACTATGAAGTTCCCTTTCTTACCTCAAACAAAAACTGATGTGCCTTTGAGAGTCTGGTAAAGATTGCCTTTCCCCTTGCATAATCCCTGTCTCCATAGTCTGATCAGGATTTTCCATCATCAAAAGCCCAAATAATTTTGTCTAATTACAAAAGTACTTCTTTTCTTAAATTCTGAACATCTGTGGAATACTGGGAACATCTGCTCAGGCAAAACATCAAATATACATGGAAAAGGAACTAATATACTTTTTTCAGGAGCTGTTCAGGGGAATCAGAAAGAAGTAGTGACCTGTTATTTAGAAAGATGTCGGTTCCTAAAGATTCTCTCTGAAATTTCTGATGATTCCCCACACCCTCTTTCTTGGATAGCAGCCTCCCAGAACCAACACACCTGGAGTTTCCAGATGCTCTTGCTCTCCTGTGCAATTTTGTTCACAGTTTCCCCCATCAGCGCGATGAGCATGTTGAGCAGGAGGATGTACGTGAGGATGACATAGAGAACCAAGAGGATGACAAACACAGACTTGAACCTGTAGTTCTCTGTGAACTCCAGGTCCCCCATCCCAATAGTGAACTTGAAAAGCTCCAGGCAGGTGTAATACAGGCTGTTGTAGGATGTGCGGCCTCGTCTCACGTGGCAGCAGCGGGAATAGTCAGAGGTATTTGTCTCTTGCCCCTCGTTGTCATCTTCAATTAAAGTCACCACAGCTGTTGCAAAAGAAGAATCACATAGGCAGGATGAAAATACAATTTGGGATCATAATTCCTTTGCAAGCAATGAAACGAGTATAAAGGTAAAGCATGTTATCCTCACGGTACATTGACTCCGGGGAAATTGCCCTATAAATATTCCCTATAACTGACACCTCTCAGAAGGTGTTGCCTCAGCTTTCTCTACACAGAACAGGACAACTGAATGTTTTTCCATCAGCTTTGGAAAGCAGTTTGAGACCCAGGGATGAAAAGCTGTATGAAATTACTACAGATAATTGTTATTCTGAAGAGATTTTTTTTGTAATTAGGCTAATTTTTTAGTTTTCAGTTGGAAACAAAAAGTCTAAGCAACTTGAAAAATAACATTTTCCAAGACTCTCTAAAGTAACAAAAAGTAACCCCAATTAGAAAATTACCTGTAGAAAATCCCAAGAGGAACACTAGATAGACAAACATGAAGCGACACAGATCTCTAAGGATCATCTGCAACATGAAAACAGAGTATTTTTATATTGCTAAAACTTGAATATAAACTGCAACAAAAACGGGTAGAAAATCCTGCTTCAGCTCAAGAAGGCATTTGCATGAACTGGCTGTTCATGCATTAAACTGTTGTTTATCCTGCTGAGATGATAAACTTTAATACAGAAAACATTTTTCTCTGTTATTCATGCAACATTTACACACATATGCAACACATATGCCTGTCAAATAGTTTCCTCTTTGCGAGTATAAACCACATTAAGACAGTTGAAGCTTTCTTCCCCTCTTGGACTGGCTGTCTACACCATACAGAGAGGTTTATTAGCCAGCTAGTTAATTAGCCAGCCTCTTAGCTAATTGCTCTGTTTAGTAACATTTGAACTATACCTAAAGAAATTTCCAGCTGGTAGAAAGCTGGGCCATTTCACACCAGAGCAGTCTGCACTGTTCTCAGTCTCCTTTCATCCATGCTTGTCCAATCATAGTTATTTGGAAGCATGGCAGGTAGTAAAAATCATCATCATCATATCAAGACTGCTATAAAATGTATGGATGAGGAGCAGGGGGTTTTTCTACATCACTTAAATTTTATCACTTCACTCAGAAGACAACAGCAAAGTTTAGCAGAGTGTTATGAGCTTTCCCAGTGGCATCATGGAGGTAGATATGGCAACATGTTTCCTGGAAATGGGGCTGTTGTGTCCCACTCTGGGCACACCTGCTCCCTGCACTGACCTTGGCAATCATGACAGAGTAAATGCCCATCTGTTGGAAGCCACGGGTGTAGTAGAGCATGTTGGCCCAGCCCAGTGCCAAGGAGAACACCATGGAAGCCACGTAGAGTTCCTGACCACAGAAGTACAGCACCACAGAGCTCAGGAGGAGCAAGGAATGAACAAAGCTGAAAGACAAGCATGGTCTGAATGCAGAGGGCTGAGCTGGCCACAGGTGGTGGGAACAGAGGAACCCCATGGGGTGTACAGCAGAATGAGGGATTCCCCCTGTTTAGTGCACTCCAGTTGGGAAGAGAAAGGACCCAAACATTCAGAGGCAAAGCTCCCTTTAGCAGTGGGAGGATTTCTGCACATCCAGTGCATAAGTCCAGCTTGGAGATCTATTCTTGACTCTGTTGCATGACACAGTCACTGAACATCTAGACACTTAATTTGCTTTACCTCCAAAGGAGGTCACTGCCCCAGACCCATCTGTTCAGTGATGTCCACTGGCTACTCTGTTGAAAAGACCCAGGAAATTATAGCAAAGCATCTACCTATTACAGGTGGCTTCAGCCAGAACTACAGATCTCACACACTCATCTGTTTCTGGCTGAGATGCAACCAAAGATATTGGAGCTTACAAAAGAACCTCACTGTAGCCATCAATGATCACCGTCTTGAGTGACGGGCGCCTCTGCACGAAATATTGTATCTGGAAAGAAAAGGGAATCAAGATCAGGTTTGCATCAAGGAGGGATTAACTATCACCTGTGAATGCATCAACTGAGCCCTGACCCCTGTACCAGGGAGCTGGTACCTATTAAAATCATAAGAACAGCTGAAAAACAACACTGGCACAACATCTCAGGAGGACTCTTCCAGCAACACTTGAATTCTCTCACATCTGGTGTCTCTTTTGAAGACAACAACCTATTCACTCACTGTTTGAGGACCTGGGATTCACTGTACCCTTTCCATTGGCTGCCAAGGGGAAGCTGGGGGACTTTAGGCTAAGCCAGGTAACCTTTAGTGGAGGGCTGGCTGTTTGCAATACCCCACCCTTAAGCTTTGGCAAGGCTAATTGCCAAGATGCTCGTTGCCTTCTAAGGAGAATCTTTTTCTATAAATAGATAAAATTGTATCTTAGCTCATTAGTAACCCGAGAACTCCTAATCAGACCTAGGAAAAAGATTTGTCACTCTTGACTAAAACATGGATCATTTTAGCAGCCAATGCTAATGAATAGGAAAAGTTTGTTTGACTCTCCCCTACATCTACCCAAACAGCAAAAGGGAAATTTTCAAATATCTTACCCCTCTGAAAAAAAAATAGAGGCCTCCCAGAACACTCAGGATCTCTCCAGTCACTCGAAAATACTCCCCAGTGGTGTAACCAAAGGTGAAGGGAGGCTGTATAAGACAGGAAGACGTTCAGCAGAACTGGAGACAGGAAAGACCTGGCCTTGCCAGCAGCCTAAAGCAACTACATTGTGGGGGGCAACAGGTTAAGTTTCTGAATGTGCTGCAGCAAGACTGGGAATCAAGCAGGGTCAAAATCTCCCTCCTCCCTTCAGGAAAGAGGACATTTCTGATGTTAGGAGCACACACTCAGATGGGAGGCAGATCTGGGATGTCATGCACTGGGTGGCTCCCCTGACATGTGCCACAGTGACCTACCTTTTGGTCCTTCTGTACAGGTCTGTAGTAAGCAGCTGCAGTGAGGATGCTGATGTGCAAGGTATAGACAAAGAAGTTGAAGTAAAACAAGTGTTTGACAAACCGGTCCCACTTGTCTTGCAGGAGCCTGTTAAGGGGCTCCACCAGTAGCATCTCGTGCCGGTTCTGAGCAGAAGGAGAAAGAGGAGAGTCTTGCTGGGACCAGTATGTACCAGACTTTGCAAGAAAAACAAATTATATTCATCTTCAGCAAATGTTCCCCCTTGTTCCCTTAAAGTCAGGAGGGGAGATTGTTCTTTTATGGAAAGGAGGCAAAAGGTGCACTGTGTGGAACATGAAGCTCTTCCCCAGCAGTCCCCCAGCCTGGGAATAAAATGCAAAGGAGGTGCAATACTCACTGGTGTCTCACTGCTGTAGGCAAGAATCTCCAGCACTGAATTTTTCTCACATGTGTCTATACAGGACAGGTCATAAAGAGAGGAGTGGACAGGTCCATATGCCCATTCAGTGAACTTCCTAGACAGGTGTCTGCACTCGGGATCTTTGATCTCTCGTCTGAGGATGTAAGCGAAAATCTAATTGCAAAAGAACAATACAACCAACATTTCAGTGCTAATGGACTTCTTGTCCCTCAGCATCTCCACAAGAAAGGATGGGTAATTTCTCCCTAGTTTAACTGAGCTGAGGCCAAACCACTGGAGCACTGCATTCTCAAGGAAACACAATTCATTTTCTTCCTGGATGCTGGGAGATGAGAAATATAAATACCTCTTACAGCTTGGCATTATCTGTTTCAAAACTGCAAGAGAAAAGCAGAGGTGTATGTTACACCTCTCTGAGCACACAGTCACTTTGAATGGGGACTGCCAGAAAATGAGTTATATCAGCAGTCAAAAGTACAAGGGCTCCAGTGGTTTCCTCTTGGGCTGCCTTGCATACCAGGGGTGTATGAGTAACACCAGCTGGGCACATACACACACACATTTCATGGCCTTTAAGGACTCTGCAGGTTTGCATGTTAAACTGCAGCATCAGTTCCTATTAACTAAAAGGCCCCAATAATAAAGTTACAAACCCCATCTTGCATAAATGTTTTACACGTGCTCTCTATAACTTGATACAATAACAGGACAGTCAAACACCTTCTCTCACCTACCCCTATCTTCCCTGTTTTGGCTGCCAGGGTTAATGGAGTCAGCCCTTTCTTGTTGGTGAGCTCTTCCAGCTTCAGGATTGGATTAATTTTGGCACCAAGGATCAATATGTTATTGTACATCTTGGTTACAAACTTGGTGTTATCCTTAGTGTTATCTGCAATCTCCACCAGGGTGTGCAGGACCATGTTGCCCATGGAGTCCTCAGCAGCAATGTCAGCAGCCTGGTAGGGATTCTCCAGCAGGAATTTCACAATGCAGAGCTGGTTGGTGCAGGCAGCCAGGGACAAGGGCAGCTCCCCTACAGGAAGCAAAGGGAAGGAGTGGTCAGAAAGCCCAGCACTACAGGTGCATAAACTCGAAGTTCATGTTGTTTTCATCTTGCACTAAGAGGTGGATTCCTCTGACACAGCACCAATTCTTGTGATAGCTGTTAGAATCAGATTTTCTTTGGTTTAACTGCATCACAGAAACACAGCTGTTAAAAAAAAAGCACTGGCAGGACAGGAGCAGAAGGTTACAACCTTTCAAAGGATGCAGTGTTCAGAGAACACCAAGATCACACTGAACACCATCAACTACCAACTGTGTTTGTTTATAAACTCAGTTTTTGGGAGTAAAAATTTGTCCTGATGGTGGAACAGCCCATCTGCTACTTCTGAGCCTCCAGTCCCACATAAACAGGATTATTTAACAGCTTGCACTTGGGGTGATGCTAGGATAACTCAATCAATAAAGCCTTTACTGTGCTCACTCCTACCAAAATAAAAGCCAGATTTCCCTTTGATTTTCCTGAAGAACTCCCCACAGGCTCGTGCATGAACATCTGCTCCATTCTGGACCAAGAGCTTCACCAGGTACATGTTCCTTCTCTCGATGGCGATGTGAAGAGCAGTCTGGCCTACAGAGACACCCATCAGACAGAAATCTTCAGCACTTTCAGCACTGCAATTCACTCAGCTCCATGTCAGATGGTGGAACTGAGAGCTTTGCAGACTAAAAAGCTCTAGAACTGAACAGAAAAAAACCCCCAAAAACAACAAATGGACATTCCCTGAACTTGCTATTAAATCACTGTATATCAAAAATGGCAGAATATTGCACAGAACACACTCCCAGCACAAATGAACAGAGTGTTAATCACACACTGGAACTCTGGGGTGCTGCATCCTCAGATATAAGGCCTCATGCAGGAGACTCAGCACCCTGAGGATTCCCTGTGGCAGCCATTTCTCTTACCCTTGTAGTAGTTGTCAGTATATTCTGCATTAACAAACTCTTTCAGAGTTCCAGTTTTCCTTGCAATATCCAGCAGCAAGGGAATGGTATCATTTTTCCCATCATGCAGATTCAGCATGGCTTTCAGTAAACAGGTTTTCCCAGTTTCAGGCTCTATAACACAAAAGATTGAAGGTGTATTGAAGTGATTACAGACCCACCATCTATACCCAGGCAAGCAGGAATTAATGAGGTGCTTTTCAAAAGACAAGGAAACTCATTTAGGCTTTTCACAAAAATTTTCAGCTCCTGTAACCTTACAATCAATGGGTTGCCCAATCAATAGGGCAGTAGTGGCTATTAAAGGACCTCCTGCAGACATATAACATAATTATCTTTTTTTTGTTTTCATCTCAGGAGCACTACTGGAAGAAGAAGAGGGCAACTGAAGGTATGTGCCACTAAAGGGTACCTTTGAACTCCTCATCTGTGAGATGCTTGAAGGTTCTATTAAGGTAGAGTAGCAGGTCACTCAGGTCCTTTGTGTTGCCTCGGGCTACAGCATCAAAGATCCTTCTGCGATCGTAAAACTTGAAAGCTTTTTCTGAGCAGCCTGTGATGGAATCTGCAGACAGGAGCCTAACAAGGGTAAATTTCAGTTACCAAAAGTCAGATACTAAAAGTTAGATGTTTAACAGACTTTTTATAAAACTAACAGAATACTATTTTTCATTTGCTTGTGTGAAGTAGTAAGTACAGGTTAGAATAGATGGATCTGCAAAGACTACAAGATCAACGAAGCCTGCAAGCAACTGCTCTGATAAAATTGTGTATCACTTGCTGAAAAGCTGACAAGACTCAGAAGAGGCACTCAAGTATGGCAGTGAAACTGCAGGCCTGGAGCCAGGCAATCCCTTGTTCTCATTCTGAGTGATGTCCATTCACTGAACAGTCAATTAAGGCCTACTGCTAATTTTGGGCAAAATATCCACGGATTCTCTGAATTTTCAGAGATGCCAAAACAGCCATTGTCCCTTTCAGTTGCAACACTCCTTATTTTGGCAGAGAAAATAGTGAAACTGAAAAAAACAGTCATGCTCATGTGGAGAGAACAAACAGTGCTCTAAGAAACATGGTCTGCAGTGGTCAAACTATTCCTTACAACCACATCTTGTGAAGGGGCAAACTTACTTGTGAAATTTCCCCCTCTCCAAATTGACATGCAATTTGATGACAGAAGGTGCCATCAGGTGATCCATCTGGTAAAAGGAGTCCATGGGAGCCATGTCCTTGTCACTGTCCCCCATCACAAACCGCCCACGCCTTGCAAAGATGTTGCTTTTGGGTGGCTGGGCCCTGGTGCTGGGTGGGCCCTGGGAGCTGTCAGATGTTTCCAGGACAGAGTCCTCCCCTTCCGTGTGTTCATCTGCCACTTCAGAGTCCTCCATGTCAAAACTGCCAAATTTCTTCATCTTCCCAAGAATGGAAGACATGATGAGCAGGCAGTCTGTGAGGAAGGACACAAACACCTCAAGTCAGCATTTTACAGGGCCACGAGTCCCCTTTTGCCTCAGACCACTCTCCATGAACAGCAGGGAGTGGATTGGTTGCTCTCATCCCAGAAATGAGGCAGATGGACACGGATTCACTGTGCACAGAGTTGGAACAGTTTAGTAGGTCATTACCTCCATGTTTGTTCCTGTCCCCACTGCCCTTACCCATTCCAGAACGGACAAAGCAAGCCAGAGCATCCCAGAGCTTGCCAGCCATCCCACTGCAGAGCTGACTCCTACTTAAAACTAGGGCTTCATCCTCCTCCAGTCATTGGTAAAGCCTGAACAACCTCAAGCCTCAACAATCTCTACTTTTCTTCTCTACTTTCTAACTGGTTTGTGCCACAATTTATTCTCATGATCATATCAGGCATGTGAAAACAGCCTGTTTGTGCCATCACAGGATGTCTGGGATGCTGAGCACAGAGGGCTTCCTGCACACAGGAAAACTATCCCTTAATGGCTTTGCCAGAATTATGGCAGTGCTTGATGAAAATTGGTGTGTGATTCCTGAGAGAAGAGTGTCACCTCAAACATGAGACACAGAAACAGGAAGGGGAAGGTTACCACAGATAAGAGGTGCCTGTAAGACCACACGTCTGATCCTGCCTGATTTACAACCACAAAGAACTTGACACAAGTTAACAAAGACAGAACCACAGAATGGTCTGGGTGGGAAGTGACCCTAAAGATCATCTCATTCCAACCCCTCTGCCACAGGCAGGGACACCTTCCAGTATCCCAGGTTGCTCCAAGCCCCATCCAACGTGACCTTGAACACTTCCAGGGATGGGGCAGCCACAGCTTCTCTGGGGAACCTGTGCCAGGGCCTCACCACCCTCACAGATAAGATACTCCACTGAAAGTAGAGCAGGGTGCTTTTTTTCTTTTTTTTTTTTTTGGTTTCTTATCAAACTGTTTTAATCAGAAAAATGCTATCTTCATGCCACCGAATTCAAATGTTCTGGAACTCCAGCAGTGGAGACAGGAATACATCATATTCGAACTGCTGCACTGCTGGCTTAGAAACATTCTCTGAAATCCTACATTGCTTGGAAATCTTACAGCTTTGAGCACAGCAATGTCACAAAATCTTTAAAAAGCCTTACGTTATAAACCACATTACAGAGGTCAGTAATCTGTGTAAATTCAGTGCAAAAACAACATCATAAACACGCTTCATGGTTGTTTCTCTTCACAAGAATATTCTGAGGGTTGTCTGCAGACCCACATTGTACATTAAAGCTGGATTCTCAGTTCTATGGGAATACTTCATATTTACATCAAGGGTCACTTACCTTTTTCTGTGCAAGCAAGACAGGAAAGAAACTTTGGTCAGGCATTTGTATCTGCCATGTAAAGAAAACATCAATTCCAAACTTGCACATCGAGTGTTACTGGAAGCAAACCAGCATAGTATGGACAAAATACTAATAACTGCAATTTAACTCACTCACCTTTCAAGTTCTTTGTGTCCTTAGAATCACTCAGAAAGAATAACTTATTAACTTAATTGTTCTATAAATAAGAAATCAAAATATTTCCATTTGGAATAGGATACTAAAATTACAGTAGAACCACTATTTCAGTAGAAAAGGAATAAAACCAGTTCTATAAAAAAATAGAAAAATATACAGTGGGAATACAGTCATGTATAATTTTAATTTTTTGTCTTATTTAAATTAATGTGGATTGAGCCAAAAACATCAGCGAGATGGCCATGGAAAATACAATCACTTATTTCCCACAGAATAAATGTAATGTTAAAATGTGCAGAATAGGCTCAATCCTGTCTCCCTGGCAATTGCTCAAACCTACTCTAGTCATTATATGTGCTTTCCTTTCTAAACCTTTTGAAAACATATTTGATAAGGAAGACAAGGCTGCATTTCCTCATGAGTATGAATTTGCAAGGGAATAAGCTTCACAATTCTGTGGAAGGATTCTTTAAAAAAATATTCCACTAAACACATAAAGTACTTGAACTCTCTGAAACCCTTATACGTTGAAATTTGACACAATAAATGAGATATGGAAATATTTCTGATAGAATGCCTTGCCACATCACAACTTATAATAAATAATAATGAGAGTTTAAAAAGAACTAACAGCAAATATACATGCAGAACTTACAAATACTGACAAAAATCCCGTCTTCTGAAAAATAGTCCAGTCTCAGTAAGCACCCACTGATCTACAGGAATTTGGTGCCAGATATTCCTCCTCCAAGGTGCCTGGACTGAAAAGCCCTCAGAGTTTGCTTCTCCACTTCATTTGTCTGCAAAAGTGTGGTATGTGCTGATTTTTAGAATCAAGGGAAGTTCACCAGAAGAACAGAGAACAGAGCAATAAGATAATTAAGAACAATTCTGGAACCAGAAGCATCAGTGGCTTCTATTCCCAGAGGTTTAGCAGAGCTCTTTACAAGAATTGCAGTGAGTTGCTGTTGTTTTTTCCTCCCCTTTAATTGCATTTAGTAATGGATATTCTTCTCCAGATTTCCTCTTCGTAAATACACTCAATTTTGCAAAAAAAACACCCAAACCACCAGTGTTTGGGTGTGGGTCACAGTTTCATTTCAATTTACAAAACTTTGTAAAATGTGCCACAGTCATCTTTCTGGACATCTTTCTTGGGTGGCTAATTTAAAAATAATTATTTTCAAGATAAGCTGATTCAGAACAGAGCTGAGCAAGAACCAGTGACAGAAAGTCCTAAAACCTTTCCATTGTTCCACATTCCTACTATGTTTTATTTCCATTATATATGTAACAGTCAGCTTCTAAATATTAATGTAATTAGGAAAAATATCTAATCCAGGATGGATCCAACACCCTTAAAAATAAAGAACTGTGTCAAATATTGTTAAATATATAATTTACATACAATCTTTCTGACAAAAACTAGTCTAGAGAAAGAGTTTTTCCAGAGGCTGGGCTGACAGGCTGGGAGCAACCCCCAAGCCTCCTGAGGTTTTGAGTAGATTATGAAATTATTTAATGAAATTATCTGTGCTATGTTTTACAAAAGGCAGCTGTCTTTCTTGTCTTGCCATCTATCTATCCATAGATGTATAAAAGAATTATATCTTTGCCTATTTAATAGCAAACTAATTATGCTCCTTAGAACACCCTATGGCATTGTATCAAATGGAGAAACAAGCCTATTTATTAATGCATAAGTACAGATTACCAGCGAGGCAGGTCCTCAGCTGCTGCTCCTGGAGCTTTGCTGAGCAAAGCCTCTCACTCAACATTACAATTAACTCCTTCACCATTTCCAAAGCAGGGACTCAGTAGGAAAACTCCATGGAGCAGTGGAGGGTCTCCCTTATTCAGTCTCTGGCTTCTTGCTGTGCCTTTTGCTAAATGTTCTTCTCCCTCTTCTTCCATTCCAGGCATCAGCTCCTTTCAGTCTCACTGTGCTTCAATGGATGTACTTTGGGAACTTTCTGCTGCTTCCTGATGCCTCCTTTAGCAGCTCCTTGGCTTGTGTTTCCTGGGAAGATGTTATTTCCTTCTCCATCGCTTTTGACAATAGTTGTTGGACATATTGTATTCCATCTCAGCAGGGACCTTGTTTTTAGGAGATGTGAATGCTTGTCAAAACAAGCCAGTAATAAGCAAGAAGGAATTTATTCCTTTTCCTCGGGCCTGCCTCCAACATGCTGCAAAGGCTTCGTGCAACTTCTGTGCTTGAGAGGGATTTTACCCACTAAGAGCCCTCTCCATCACTGCAAATGGAAAACCATCAGCAGATTTGCCAGAGATCCTAAAGATGTATCCAGGGCTGGCCTGCAGCTCAGAGATAGCCTTGCCTTTGCTAACAGAACCTCAAACCAGGCCATGATTTACCAGCTCCTGGAAGCAAATGCCACTTGCTCTCATGGGTAAAAGGGCACTGGAACAGTATTATCAGTTCTTTCTGATAAAAATGAAAGCAAATATGCTGATGCAAAAATGTTTTATAATAATGTAAGAGTGAAAACAACATAGAACAAGTTAAGGCTTTTCTTTAATCTAGTCTACGCTTTCTCTGTAATTCCTTCATATGCCAACAGTTTCCTGAACACGACATGGAACAGATGCACGGAGAGGGGGTGGAGGGAGTTGGAAATTCAGCATCTCTGTAGTCAAGATCTCAGAACTGAGCACAGCTTTTTCACTATAAAAATGTCAGTCCTGATATTGCTAATGAGCAAGATAGGAATCCATGGCCATATTTCAATGGAAACACCTGCTGCCTAGTAATGAAACTGTATCTAGATAACACGAAACACCTTCCTTGCTTCCCAGTGTCATTTGAGCAAAAGTGCACATGTATCTTGGTTTAGTCTGAAACTAGAAAATGTTTTCACATTAAAATAAAGAGTAAGAGAAGAAATAAAGTCTAAGAGCATAATACAGGGGACAAAACCATGAAAATGTTAAGGGAATGCACATGAGCAATACCCAACATTAAAAACAGATTAGTCTAGCTAATTGATTAAAGCTTAATTTGACACAATACAGGAAGGGCAGAATCAGAAACACCTTCAGATCAAACACAGTAACACAGCTCCTCACAATTCTGACTGTTTCACAGAGGCCCTGATCCAAAACCCAAACATAATTACGTATGTCAAATAAAGAAAAGAATTCCTTCTCACCCTATAAATGCATTTTCCACTCGGCCACAATCCCTGCACTCCAGGCATCTCCAGTCATGGTACCAGCCTAGTCATGCCTTTGACCTTAGTCCACTGCACCCAAACAGAGTAGAAACAAACAGAATAGAAACAACCCTCCATGTTTTATTTTCATTATTTCGTCGATGTTCAAGCCAAGGTATCATTCCATCTTTTACAGAGACAACACACAATCCATGAAAACTGGGATTTGTTCTGTGCAGGAGCCACCAAACCCCCCCCAACAAGGCTGACACCCTGGTCTGCTGCCTGTCTCTATATTGTGAGACAGCTTAAGGACAGGAAGTCTCTAATGAAAGCATCAGACTAAGTTACAGCTACTTTTCTCTCCTAGTCCTCCCAAACATATTCCTACCAGGAAAATGAGCCTCGCATGAAGTATCATTTTATGCAGGAAGTTAATGGATCTCTCCCAGTCACTCAGACAAATGTAATGTGGTAATTACTGCTCATTTCACAAATGGGAATGACAGAGCACCAAAATGTGCAGACCCAGAAGGAGAAGTGGACATTAAATGCTGGGGTTTTTTCCCTCTGTAATGAGTGAGACTGCATGTGGAATAAGGTGAAAAGAAACACTGTAGAGTCAGGAAGAAAACAGAAGCTCCATCCCAGGCCATTCCAAACAACCACTTTATTTCTTATGGAACATCACCATGGCAGCCCCCACAGCAGCATCGACATCCTTCCCATAAACCACAGGGAATGGAAAAGCGCTTTCCACTTCCTGCCTCAGCACCTCATTCCTGGCCAGGGCACTCCCGCTGCCCAGGATCCTCCTCACGCCCGTGTCTGTCAGGCGCTGCACAGGTAACATGGAGCAGAGGTTCTGGATAATCCCACGGCACAGAGCTCTGGTGACGTGGCCCAGGGACAGCTCAGAGGCAGCAATGCTGGTCACTGATCCCAACTGCTCAGGAATGTGCCTCTCTCCAAATATGGTTGGGTGGACTGAGAGTTTGCTGTGGTTTTGGGCCAAGGCTGCTTGGATTATCCTTGTATAGATGGCAGACTCCTGGACCTGAAGTCCTGCAGATGGGAAATACCAGGTTACTAATCTAGTGGAGACTTACAATGGACACTTATCCATTAGTTCAGCAAAATATTGGATATCTTTTTTCATGTCCCAAGGGTGACTGTTTTTTCCAGGATTACGAACCACAGTTCTCCCACCACATCTGTATCCAGGATGTGTGACACTAGAAACCTTCTCTGAAACTGCCTTTCCTGACAATGCAGCTATTCCTTGTTACCTGTCCTGTGCTAAGTTACACAAAGCAACATCAGGCACTAATGGCAGACAGCAGCTTCAGTGGCTGGATTCCATGTGAATGCAAAGCTCACCTCAAGTACTCGCTGAAAGAACAATTTCAGAGCTTACTTTTGTATTGCAAAACCCAAGAGATTATTAAAAAACCTGTGAAGACCAAGCTTAAAGCACTTAGAAGACATAACACGAGTTTGAGTCTTAAAATCCATTAGAGTTCTGCAAAAGGCAACTGATCCAACCAAGGGACTCCTTTGGACTGCAGTCACACAAAATTAGAGGTTGTTGTCCTCAAATCTGCCATCTTTTCCTTCTGAAAATCAACTTGCACAAAATAATTCTCTTCTGTCCTTGAAACCAAGGAAGACCTAGAGGCAATGTGAATGTGGAGTCCCAGCATGTTCATAAGCAGGAAATTCCAGAGACAGAGGAAGCCTGGCCCAAGACATACATCCTTGTTCCCTGTATGGCATGACAGAGCAGCTCTAGGCTTGTTCCTTTGCCTCAGCTTCCTTTTACCTTGATGATCAACCTCAATTTTAAGCTTCAGCTCTCCTTGACATGACTTACCCAGCTCCCCTGTCCACTGTGCCACCATGCCCACAAACGTTGCCAGCACGTTGCCTCCGTTGAGCGATGCTGCCACTGCCAAGTAGTCCCCGTTGAAGTAGGGAAAATAAGTGACAGCTGAGGAAGGATCTGGTGTCTCTGGAGGCTGGAAACCCGGGGGCATTGAGATGGTCAGCTGAGCAGAGGTACTGATATTAAGAACTAGAACACAAAAGGAATTAAAAAAAGAAAAAAAAAATCAGTGTTTTACTAAGCCATTCTGAAGGAGGACAATGAGAAAACCAAATCAGATACCAAAATGACCATACCTGCGTCAGTCCTCTCAGTCAGACAGGAATAAACAGAGCACTGGAAATCTCCCAGAGCAATTCCTACTTTTACTCCTTTGGGTATTCCATGCCATGCACGGGTTGTCCTGCCTGCAATGCTTCCAGAGTCTCCCACCTCTGGAAGCAAGTGAACAGGAAAGCCGGATTTTTTCAATCTGTAATCAGAATAACATTCTTGGAGGAAAGCAGTATGGGAACTGTGGCATGACTACAAAGACCTCTTTGAAGTCACACATGAAGCTGTCCATATATTTGTGGCTGCTGGATTTATGGAGGCTTTCACCTATTTAGAAAGCTCTGTCTTGGACAGGGGCAGCATTCCAGTCCAATGGGCTGGGTAAACTAGAATAGTCTAGAAGAATAAATAGTTTTTCTTTATATGCAATCTGAGTACCTGAGATTATACAGTACATGTTCAGCGAGTTTAACCTGCTGATGTCACATGGACAAGCAGTTCCAGGCTAAAGGGACAGTCACAAAAACAGCAAAAATGCAGCTAAGTGTCAAAAACTTAAGATGTCATGCAATTAGTGGTTCAAAACCAAATCACAAAGAGTTAAATCCAACAAACTCCTTATGCAATCAGCTGCAAGATAACACTACAGTGCTACAGCAACAACTCCACATTAGTAAAAGTTCAGTTGGCAAAGTGCAAGTTTCTGTCACTCTTTCATACCTTGATGAGAAGATCTTTCACCTTGGAGTCCTGGCCTAACCTAAGCCCTGAATATATAAGGCCTTAGCACTCAGCCCTGAAAGAGTAAATCATTAACACAAATAAGTAAATAAATAAGCTGATTCCTATAAGATTTCCTGTAGCTTAATAACTCTTAAGCATTATCACAAGTAAGTCTTAGTAGTTACGAAGGAGTTCAGTTGAAAGAACTAAGAGAGTGATAAGTGCCTTTGCCACGACAGAGGGAACATTGTGGCTGCAACATGCACTTGTCCATTCCCATCCATCCCATCCCACCGTGGAAAAGGAGAGAACAGTTTGCTATACAAGGACTCACTGACGAGTCTCTCAGCTCTGCTCTTGGTAGGTATTTCTAAAAATACTGTACCAGATTTTATAAGATTTAAACAGATACACTTCACAAACCAGAGCAAACTCTCAATAGTCAATAGTTCAGCAGTACAGGTCACAACTGATTAGGAGTAACTTTCAACCCCTTTTTATCTGTAGCACATTGATACTCAGGGCCCAAAGAGGTGCAGTGCACAGGCCCCACTGAACAACCTTAGCACTTACATGTCAGTATTCCAGCTTTTGCTTCTGGAACTAAAATATCCCCAGCTGGCAGCATTCTGGACAGACATGAGTGGCTTCTTCAGGTCACATAACATGGCAACCACGTAGTCCTGGATAGTGCCAGCTGCATCATAAGCCTTCAGAAAATCTGGACTTTTAAACAAGACATTTTAAAAACAAAACCAGTAAGGGTTTTTTGCTTTAAGGCAGCAGGAGCAAGACAACTTCCATTGCTACAGAGAACATGACATGTGTGGTCTCATCTAAAAATTAAACTGCCACCTCAGTGATCAACCTGCATTTTGTTGTTTTCGTTTGTTTTTTTAAATGGAATTTGTTTTCCAAGCTGCAGCAATACTTATCTCCTGATGGAAGATGGAGAGACAGCACCTTTAAGGAATGAATAGTCTTGGTTCAAAACCACAGCATTGCAAAGTTACCAGGAAAGTAGTAATTGTTTGCATCAAAAAAGTGGCATTTGGTTGACCCTGGAGCATTTGAGAAAAATAGGTAAACTCCCACAGTTGGTCAGGGATGCACAAATGATATGAATGGAAATGTATCAAATGGTGAAACAATGCAGCTCTAAAGTAGGATCACACCATATTCCATATATTTGCTGGGCACATACTGGAAGAAATCAAGATCTAATAAGTTTTTTCCCATTTATTGAACCTGAGCTCATTGCAGAGGAAGACATTGGCTCTTTGAAAAAGATGAAACTGAAGAGCAAACCTTACTGATGCCAAGTCATAAGTGAAAAATTATACCCTCTGCAAACATGCCACAAGAAAGCAGAGCACTCATAACACCTCATGAGGATCTCAGCGTCTGAGGAAGGAAGGAACTGAAACTAATTTAGAGCCTTTTTGTTTTAGCATCTGGCAGCAACCAGACCAAGCACTCTGTGACTGTTTTAGGCATGTTGGTATTTTCATCAACAGCACAAGGCAAAATGACAGCATTCAAACTGCATTAGCAGAGCTCCTCTGACCGGTACAATGGACTACAATTATTCTGTGATACTTTAAAGCTTCTGTTACTCTATGGTCAGAAGCTCTTCTTTTTGTTAAAAATCTGTAGTAATTTTATGAGGTCAGAGACTCCTGTGTGCTCAGTTGCATGTAGTTTATATTAAACACTGCCCTTTTAAATATTGTTTGACTACTTAATTAAGATTATGATTACAGAGAAACGCAGCCCCTCAGCCTGCAGCAGCATTAACATGCTACAGGAATAGTAATTGCCACATAAATTCAAGATGAGAAACTGCCTGACACAGAAGCCCTTTTGAGAAGCAATGTACCTCTTCTTTAAATACCAGTAGATTGTGGCACATCCAAACCCCGTAGCCAAGCTCACATCTGACTGTGGCAGAGGAAGGGAAGAGAGGAAGGTGGGGCTGCAGCGGCCGTCCTGCCAAGTCACCAGGTGACTGACGTCCTGTGGCTCAAAGGCAGGGCCTGTGCCACACTCGGTCCACTTGCAACCTGAAACACAAAGTATCCAAGAAATCCAGTGATTCCCTGCAGTGCAGCCTGCCTGGCATCCCTCATTTCTGGACACGCTTGATAATTTGCTCAATATACTGGAAAAAGAGCAGAAACGGAGCCAGCAGAGGTTGTAATCAAATTATTTGGTCATGGTTTTCAGCCCTAGATAACGTCATAATGCCAGTCATCCTTTGCTAAAACAGAGGATGTTATCCAAGGCCTTCCTTTTCTCTAAGCACTCCTAGTGCCTAAAGCAGCAAGCCACTTGCACCTTGAGATATTAAAGATACTTAAATAGCAGGTGAGCCACAAAAAAACCCCAACCACAGTTCTGCTATGGGAGACAAGGAGCTGATATGGCAGCTCTCACATATAAACCTCAACTGGGATCTGCCACATCACAACCTGGAGAATGCTGTGGTAGCAATGAACTGCCCATGATGGAGAGCACCAAGTTTCATCACCTTTTAAGCCAACAAGAAACCTGGATCTATAAGTATTAAGCAATGGACTGCAAAGTACTAAAGAGTAACCCTCCCCTGTGCTGTGCAGCAAAGCTTCACCAAAGTAGATCAAGGTTTAATTCAGTTTTACCA